AAAAAATTTAAATTTTTTAAAAAAATTAAAAAGTGCAAACGAATCTCAAATAAATTATTAAAAAATTAGAAATTAAAAAAAATTCTTTAATTTTTTTTTTTAATGGGAGGGTATATTCATTATTTTATAGCTCTTTATTAAGAAATTAGATAAAAATGAATAGAAATGATGATTTGCACAATCAAATGTGTAATTAAGGGTGAAAATGTAAAAAAAAAGAAGAAGAAGAAGAAGGTATGAACGTTTTCCGCTATACTAATGAAAATTATGGACATTATATGTTAATTGCCCTTTTAATAATTTTTTTGGGGACTCATTTGTGCTTTTTAAAAAAATTTGGCACTATGGTAGCAATTAGTTTTTCTTTTTCTTTTTATTTAAAGAGAAGTCGTCATTACACAATTTTTAATTGAGAAAATAGATGAAAATGACATTTTACACAATGAAATGTGGAAATAAGGTTGAAAATACCAAAAAAATGAAAGGTGAAAACGTTTTCCACAATAACAATGAAATGTGAGGATGTTACGTGCTATTTACTCCGATAATAATCAACAATGTGTATCTTCGTGCTTGTGCGTGGAAATATTTTATATGCATATATAGAAAAGTATTAAAAAAATGTATATATTTTTACATACTAATTGATGCAGGGACAGAGCAAAAATTTTATTTTAGTGAGAGCATAATATATAACTTCAAATATAAAGTCTCAAGAATTTCATATTATTTACTTTAAAAACACTTTCAATATTTAGCTCTTACCCTACTTCTAATTGTGGTTGGTTACAAATAACGCATATTGGACTTTTTTTTATAGTTTTGCATCCCTTAAATGATTCATTTTATTGTGTAGTTCATATTTTTTGTAAATATGTTTCTACAAACTTTAATTAACTATTATAAGTTTTTTTATATCTTATTAAATGAAAAATCTAGTTACAAAATTATTTTTATCTCTCTTCTTTATTCTAGAATACTCCAACAAATTTATCTCTATATTTTTAATATTTGACCCCTTTGAGTCTAACAGATCGAGACGATGCTTCTATCATTTTCAAAAGTGTAAATATTCTAAAATATCTCAAACTCTTATATTGAAACTTAAATATATTATGAGAGATTAAGGATGGAATTTAACATGTATTTTTAAACTAAAGATAAAAATTAATTTGTGGGTAAAATTAGTGGACAAAACTTAAGAGTCGCCTAATTTTGATCGAATGTCACAATTGTGACATCTGTGTGGGCATATGACTCATTCTATCATGTGATCGGATGTCATCGTTGTAATCTTGGATGCGTTGTTTAATAAAAAGTAATAATGACACTAATTGATTCTATATCCAATAACTACAATAAATTCATATTGTATGGATATGAGTTCATGTAAGATACGAAACTAATTATGAGTTTGAGACCATCTCCAATGAGATGACAAATTTGTTGTATTGCTTTTATGGATATCAACGGGGTGGGTATGGGGTGTGTCAACAATTTCCGCCCCCATCCCATAGAGTATTTTTTGTTACATTGTTCTACTCCATGCCCGTTTAAAGCGGAAAGTGGTGGGTTCGAAGAAGGATCGGGCTAGGTAGGGCCATTTTTTGTTATTTATTTTACTTTTTGCTTTTACTTTTTTTAATCTTTAGTTGATGAATATTATTACTTTATTTTTCCAATTTATTAAGAGCAATTCACGTTCTCTTAAAAAATGACGATAATTTTTTTTAATAAAAAATTTAAATTTGAAATTAATTTTTAACGAGACGGATAGCGGAGCTGGAACCATGTTTTCTGTACCCATCTCGTACCTGCTCCAAGGCAACGACCCCCCCTCTCACCCCATTTACCCGACTAGGTGAGCAATACTACCTTAGGGTGGGGCCACAATATCGGGTTTAATGGTTTTTTTTTTGTCATCCCTGAATGCCCTCTAATGGTATGATAAATATGGTGTAAATTTTGGTGTAACACTATTAAGCTTTTTAATCTTCCCATTTTACCATCTCTTTCCCTTTACATCAAATATTTATTTCATCTATATCATTTTTTTTATCTTTTATAATTAATAGATTTTAATTTATTTATAATTATTTTAATGAGATAGTTATTTTTATTTTAAATTTATTTTAAATTTTAATAATGTAATAAGTAATAATTATTGACAAAATAAATTTCATTAAAATTTATTTTTTAAATTTATTAATAAATAAAATATTTTAGTTCATTAAATGGTTGTGTTTGAAACCTATTTTAAAGAGAATATAATTTTTGGAATAGTGATTGTTGGAAAAATGTGTGGTGGAAAAGTGATGAAAATTTTTAGATTTGTGTGTAATATTATTTTATTTGGAGAGTGTGTGGTTGAAATGAAGAAATAGAAAAAAAAAATGAGAATGAGAATAGCTGTCAAACGGGGACATAATTTTTAATTAAATAATTTTAAATAAAATTTGTTGTAAACCATTGAAAATGGTCTAACTATTGTTATCTCTTAGAATTGTAACAATTTCCTATGACGATTGTTAATGTACACATAAATCATTGTCAAATGAGTTCATTTTGACATTTGACGAGATTTTAATAACATATAATTATGGCCCGTATGAGTAGTATTCCTTCTATAATTGGTCCTTCGACCATGTTATTGGAAAGATAATGACTATCTTTTCTTTGTCAAATCAAGTGAATGATTCACTCATCCATATTGAGATAAAAAAGTACGCATTGTTTAAATTACTATAATTTTAGGAATATTATTAGGATTGTAAAAAATATCGAAATTATGAAATTTATGAATTAATTAAATTCTTAAACATATGATTTAATTTTTTTCAATATCAATTGGTTATTTATCGCGATAAAAAAGAGAACACATCGTTTAAATTAGCATAATTTTGAGAAAATATCATAAATATAAAACAAAATTATAAACGAAATTTTGAAGATTTTGAATTATTAAATTCCTAAACATATGATATAAGAAAATTTAATAATTACTTATTTTTTTAAAAGGAGAAGTTAAATATTCCACTGATGATCTATTTTTTTTAATTATTTATTACTTAATTGATTGAGATCCATCTGAAAAAAATAAAATAAAATTAGAATGAAAAAGAAAAAATTAAAAAATCTGCTAAAGCCCAATAAAAAGTCACGCATACAAGGGGAGCAAGCGGCTAGGGTTTTCCTCATATGTATTAGCTAAAACTGGGGAAGAGGTAAAAAGGGGACATATTCATCACCCCTTGGCACCAATTCATCTCGTGTAGCAGTGATTTCTACTCAACTTCTTCATCAACAAAGTTGGAAGGTATTATCCGATTTTTTTTGGTGTAAAACGGGCTTTGTATGCTGAAATGATTTAATTTCAACTCACTCCTTATAATTTATTTATTTATTCAAAATTGTTGTTTTTTAATGGTAATCTTCCTCTAGCAACAGTGATTTTTTCGACAACCTTTGTCTTGATATTTTGATGCCCTTGTTTATGGTGTTCTCCTTGACTTGAAAAAACTGGCCGCCCCCCACAAGACCCCAGGTGGTTCATCCCCTGAATTGATGCTCAAAATTAACATTCCTGTTTGTAAAGTTATACGAGTATACTTGGAAAGATTTTTGTTTCTTCGATTCAATGAGATTAAGGGAATAGCGTTAAACTTTTAATATTTTTGTGATAAACATGTACGAGAAATAACTAAGTGCAGCTGTGCTTTACTTTTTGGAAAATAGGTAATGGCTCCAAAGCAGCCAAACACTGGTCTGTTTGTTGGTTTGAACAAGGGCCATGTTGTGACCCCAAAGGAACTGGCTCCCCGCCCCTCTGCTAGAAAAGGCGTGAGTTTCTCTATGCCCTTTGGCTACTTTATTATAATTTTTCTGTTTTCCGGATAGTTCTGCCCAAGGAGGCTCCTATTGGTTTTAATTATGCACGGTCATTCTAGGTTCAGGCATTTTGGTCATTTTATAGTATTTTGTTTAGCAGATCAAGCTTTGGATAATATATATCAAATATTTTTGCTTGCCTGTTTCTTCCAATTTACTATATGACTCGACGAGAATGATGAACTGATATGTTGTCTGCATACTGAATTTAAGCTGCAAGATGGTTCCTTGAATAGTTGTTTCTTTCTTGATTTGTTTATTATTTTGTGCAGTACAGAACTCTTAACAACCATTTATCAAAGCATGTTTGAGAAATTCAAACCAGTAGATTAGTTTTTAGGTTTGTAAGCGTAGGCTAACATTCACAAATAACAAGTAATCCAAGCAAATTTAAGAGGAGGAAATAATTCATTTAATAGCTAGTAGTTAGATGCGAATTCTTACGTCGCATGTACACAATTTGAGATTCTAATTCTTGTTGCTTGATCCATTAATTTATTTAGAAAACGAGCAAGAGAGTGCATTTTGCAAGGAGCCTTATCAGGGAAGTTGCTGGATTTGCACCATATGAGAAAAGGATTACTGAGCTTTTGAAAGTTGGAAAGGACAAACGTGCTTTGAAGGTCGCTAAAAGAAAGTTGGGCACTCACAAGAGGGCAAAAAAGAAGAGAGAGGAGATGTCTAGTGTCCTCCGCAAGATGAGGTAATTTCCATGAATGATATTATTGTTCTGTCCATGTCTGATAATACCAGGAATTTGTCATGGTTTTAATATAATTGATTCTTTCATCCTGTTTGGGAAATTATGCAGGGCTGCTGGAGGTGGTGAAAAGAAGAAGTGAAGCCTTTTTTCTTAGGCTTTCTGTTTTGGAAGTATCTTGAATCTGAGTGTTTGATTAGTTAATGCATTTTCGTTTAGCTTTCAGTACACTTTGTTGGTTTGTAGACATTATTAAATCAAGGAACTTTTTTTCTGTGTGTTGGCATTACTTTTAAAATCTATTATGTAACCCATCTCGTGACTCAAAGCTTGTTGGTCTTCTGCTAACTGCTTTTGTTCTAAACAAGCTTGTGGCCTCTAGACTTGAATTGTAAGACTGATGTGAAATTTCCAGCTTGGGATATTGAGAATCTCTTGATTTGGATACACTAGAGTTGAGAGTTCAAGACTTCACGATCAAAGGAAATTTAAATTTTCTGTTGTCGGCTATCTAGCTGTGAATTCTCGAGGTGTTTGATTCTGTGTAGATATCCGATCGGGGTAATTGGTTCCTCAATTCTTCAAGATTGGGGTTGCTAATGTTAGTTATTTGCAGCTTGTGCCCTTTTGAGCTGAGTAGAACTGATGTTGTAGCTGTTGTCTAGAGGCGACAGTCATATTGAAATGGGGCATCAAGCAAGCACATTTGGGTCGTAGAAAATGGTGGTTCCCGAGTCTCAGGCCTGGTGAACTAGGACTTCTGTCGTTTAGTTAGCTTTTTTTAGAGATTCTCTACTTTTTTCTGGTCACATCTGCTTGACATAGACCTTGAGATGTTGCATCAAAAAGGTACTTTCATAGGCATTGTCTATTATAACTTATGTTATAACTCTTTTTATTGCAATTCACGCTAGTGTTGGAGACGTTCTAAAAACTATTAGAGCATCTTCAATACTAATGTGGATTGCACTAAAAAAGTTAATGCATAAGCTAAAATAGACAATATCTATGAAAGTCTATATACAATGCAACATGTCTATATTTAGCTGGAGTGACAAGAAAAAACTCTGTTAAGAAGTCCGTCTAGATAAAATGACTCTTCTATATGAAGTGAGCCACCATAATAGAATTTTTCTCCCAGATTTCAAATTTTCTCTCCTATTAAATTTAAAATATAATAGAAATTGAAATATAGACGGAATCTATTAGAGGTGAAATTTGAACTAAATCGTCTATTTATAAAATATTATTGTCATATAGATCGAAAGTCTTCATTTAAGTGACACCTAAATTACAATACACGATGTAAATATCAGAAACTCAAAATATCGGTGCAATACTTTCGATATAAAAGAATATATATTCAAATGTTCAATTAAAATGGAGGAACAGTTATGTATTCACGTGCATAAGTCTTCATTATTATGTTTGGCTAAGCTTAAAAAAGTTTATCTAATAAGTAAATAACTTAAAAGATAAATATATTTTATTTAATTAAAACTGAAATAAAAATAAATAATAATTTTTACTTATCTTTAAGCTTAGCCAAATAGGTCACATTTTATGATGGCATTGTTAAAACAGAAGGAAGACTTCTGTTTCTCCAAATTTTCCTCATCAAAGCAGTGTAATCAACTTGTCTGAAAATCACAACTACTTAGCGCACATGCAGCAGGGTTAATTCTCCGTATTGGTTTAATTAATCGAGTATTGTCCAAGGAAAGATTACAATTCTACAATTTCCTTTACAAAAATTATTCAAAGATAGCATATGACAACATTTATTGATGCTATCAGTTTCTTGTACTGCATTCTTCCATTTTAGTAAACAGAAGCCCAACAAGCAGTAAAGATGTTTTGCAATGGCCTTTGCATTCTATTCAAGTACAAAAATGCAACATGAATTCATGTCTTGAACTTCTGGGATAATCTCTCGACCCCTTCTTTCCAATCTCCAGCAACTCGCTTAGTGCCTTCCTTAACAGCTGAAGTAAATTCAACAGAATTTTGCCTTACCTCTTGTAAAGAACTTTCCATTTTCGATTTAGCAACATCTTTCATCTCTGCTGCCCCCCTGCTCATCTTTAAGAACTTCTCCTTCAAAATTGATATCAAGAAGAGTATTTTCTCGATGATTTTTTTAATAGTATGTTTTGATTTCTCTCTCACTTCATCTGCCATCACCCTAAGCTTGTCCACTAAGTTTTCAGACCTTTCAATGGTTCCTTCGACTGAGAGCTGCTTTCCAGTAGCAAGCCATGTAACTCCGGCATCTTCTTCTTCACGTAGATCATTGTCGACCACAATTTTAAGACCTCGCTCCTCCCAACGCTCTCTGGCCTCCTCCAGGACTTTTAATTGCCCCCTTGCCCTTTTCGCTTCATCTTCAGCCCAAGCTCTGGGTAGGATATACATAAAATGAGTTAAAGAATTTTAAAGCTAATAACAAAATAAGAGAATCATCACTTCATATATTATTTTTAATATTCTTCTACTTCATGAAACATTTTTTCCTCTGTTTCCCCCACTTTTGGATTGTTTTATGTAAAGATTAAAACCATAATTCCAATCAAGTCTTTCTGACCAAACCCTTACTAAATTTCTCAGAGTTCGACCTTCAAATTTTGCAATATCTACCAGAAGTAAATGAAAAAAAGGGAGGGTAATTTTTTTTTTCCCCTTCATATCACATGTTAAACTCTCTTAAGACATGCTGTACACACTTTCCATTATTCTGTACTGTGCACAAGAGCAGATCTTTTGACATCTTTGGTCCCGTGTTGCATATCCATCAGTATAAAGGAGACAAACCAGCCTATTTTAGCTCTGACAATGGCTATGTCAGTCATTCAATTATCAAATTTTGACCACCCGATTCTGTCATTGGGAAGATACCTGGTAAAGAATTTAGAAGGTTTTAAGTCTGGGTTGAAAGAATAGGATGTCTTTACCTGGTAAATTTATATGTTACTTGTGTTGCTATTGAGGGGGAAAAGTCTTTCAGAACACAAAGGTAAAATTATAAGGAAACTATAGAGATATATCAATGTTGACCACAAGAAACAACCTATGAAGGAATCTTTTAAACTACTAGAATGAAGGAGCTTCTTTTGAATTTTTGATAGTTTACTTTGTTTCATATTTTTTGCCTTGATATTCCAGCAAATGTGCATAATGATGTACCCGAGCAAAATTTTCATAATAAACCCGGTCATACTTGGCCTTGCAGACATATGTTGGCTAAAAGGAAAAGAAACGCAAGGCTCACCTATGACCAATGTACAACGATGAAACAATGACTAATATAAAAGGTAATTAGAATGTGAATTAGTGAGGGGGTATCATCTTCAAGTTTATGATATACATTTATGCAATCCCTCAATCATGATATATATATATTATATAATTTCCCACCCAAAGATAAGCTTTTACTCAAAAAGATGAAAGCTAATTCCTTACCTAGCCATGGATAAAGCTTTTCGCTCAACTTTCAGCTCATACTGTAACCGTGATCTCTCTTGATTCTCAGTTTCTGCATCCCTCCGGAGCTTGTTAAGCCTTTCCTTTTCATAGGAAATCTCCAACTTATTACTCATAAGGGTCTGCAACTGCTCCTCCACCTCCCGCCTTAACTTGGAAAGAACTTCCATTTCTGAGTCAACGGCAGCTCGTTCCTTCATCAAGGCAAGATTTTCTTCCTCCCGTTCAGCCCTCAGCCTCTCAAGTTCTCGTTTTGCATCCTCTGCCAATTTCTCAACAGCATTAATCTTTTCCCTTTCCAGAAAAAGCTCCTTTTCATAACTTGCATTGAGATCTTTCTCAACTTGAGAAACTAGAGCACTATGAGCAGCTACAGCTTTTTCCGCCATGGATTCTGCCTCAATACGTGCAAGTTCCTCGCTAACAATGGCAGAAGCATCACCAGTTGCAAGGGCAATAGCAGCTTGTGCTTTTGTTACAGGTTTCTCTGGCTGGAACAATCTTGTATATCCTATCATAGTAATAGGACAGCTTAACTCTATATAATATAAGAAAGTACATGTTAGATAGAATGACATATTGAGAAGGATGAAACTCACCAAGTGCTAAGGTTATAATCCCCTGTTCTCCAGCTGCTAAATCAGCTGCTAGTGCAGGCCATGCATCTGGGTGGATCTTGTCAATATCTATGAAACCAGATAGCTGCTGCAAGGTCTGGTTGCAGGAAAGGACAGATTGATTGGAAATTCATAATGATCTCTATGCTATCCACAATATGAAAATAAAAGTAACCATTATCAAACTTTTATAACCTTTATATCTACTGCTAGTAGCTGCCTTTTTTCTAGGGCCATCTTCCAACTCACGAGATCCTGACGAGATAAAGGGCTGCAACACAACAGTTTCAGGAATAGTTCAAGGGGTGGAAGCGAAAAATGTCAAATGCTGAGACACGAGGCTACAAATAAAAGGAGAGTAACATTTTGAGTACTAAAGTGCCAAGCAGAAAAAGGTTCAAGAGGATGTTCTAGCTAAACAACTCATGACACCACAGAATAAAGAATATGATGACAAATTTCAATTTATAAAAATTGAATTGGGGAAAAATATAGAAATTCAAATAGACACAAGAAAACCAGCAAGAAAATTTTCCAAATAACAGATGCAGTTCCTTGATAAGCATCCACTAATCTTTTTCTTTTGCTATCCTTGATTCTTTTAACTATTGCAAGCTAAGTTTATGTTAGGCAAAGCTAAACTATAATTTAAGCTGGTCAAACATCATTTTTAATCACACATTACATAGGAACGACAAACTTTTTATCATTTTTCAACCACACATTATATAGGATCCACTAATAATCTACAAAAGTCTATACAAAACATACTCTAAAATAATCTCAAAAAGACAATTGTGTGATAAAAGCATGACAAATATGCGTGAGCAAAAAAAATAAACTACCTTTCAGGAGAGAAGAATACTTGACTTGTGTCTTCATCTAAAGATGACTGCATGTCACGTCTTGAAAGCTTGCTGGCAAGGAGTCCAGCTTCTGCCAACCCTGAAATCATCCCACTGATTCAGAGACCAAAATGCAACAAAGGAAAGTCAATCAAATTCCACCAAAATTCAGAATAATTACACAAATCTCGAGTCCCTACCTTGAATGGATGGGAAATCAGGGTCTTCAGGTGTAATGTCATCAAATGCAAGTTCAGAAATGTTCTCAATGTACATCGCCGGATAGACTTTTGAAGATGTGTTCCTAAAAGGTAATTTAGAGAAACTGTAGCCAACTACTTTATCTATAACATTTCAAACAGACCATATTATTTTCTTTCATCATCCATTATAAAACAAGAGGAATTGATACCTTGAAAGAGCATTGCTTGCTAAAACCAACCAACGAGCATATTCTCGGCGAGTACATAGGTCTCCTGGTTGAACATCAGCCTCAATAACCTATAAGAGTTCAATAAATTAAAACTGAGCTCGGAAACAATCAAGCGTGAAATTCAAAATTTATGGCTGAATCTCTACACTATCGAAAGTTAAGGAATGCGACCATCATCTTTGATTTCCCTACTTGAATGAGTTTTTTTCAGCAATTAAACTGAAGTAAAAGCTACAAGTGTAGCCTATTATTGTACGAAGTACGAACTCTGTGCTCAAACAAGAATATGGGTGTGCATAGGTATGCAAGAATTCAAACGAGTCTTTTGGTTTTTAGAACATTTCTGGTTTTAATTTGGATTAAAATGTTCATTATGAATTTTCAACAACGGTTAGAAATTGCTTGTCGAAAATATATGGAGCCATTGCTGAATAAGAGAATAGCTCAATTATTGGGAGTGCTTGGTTTTCATCCAAATACAAAGTGTTGATGAAGTTCCATGGTACCTGGTTAATTTTTTAAAATTTTTATTTCCTCGTATATTAATTAATAATTAATACATTTCATATATACATAAAGACATTCATTCTGTGAGTTCTTCTGCGCTTGCACTCTAATACCTCCTACTGCACTGTCATGTAAATTATTAACTGCATAAAAGTAATTTTATTTAAAAACATTTCTACACTCTGATAGCGCTCCTTTATGTTTCATGGCAAGCAAATAAAGAAAGACTCGGTAAATTCTCATTGGATAACCACTTTACTTTTTTATGCTAGAGGAACTCAGTGAAATTAAAACCTTCCAGTTTTCCTTGGTAACAGAATAAAGCTAGTGTTCAAATGGAAAGATAGAATCAAATTAAAAACTGGAAGCAACTTGATTAGTGAAATCACGCAGCTGATCTTGCCGAAACAGAATTTAGCTACTAGAGTAATCTGATAAAGTACCTTTAAAACTTGCAATGCTGATAATGCCTGACCTTGAAGTTGATCGACCACAGCAGGAACCAAAACCTTTCCCGGAAGTGACTGTGGAGCTGCAGAAACAACAGATGGAGCAGGAATACCAGCTGAAGTAAAAAAGTTTCCAGGATTTGTAAGATTGATATCATTATAATCATTGCTATGTTTTTCATATGCAAGTAGATAAGCTGCTTCAGGCATCAAAGCAGCTCCACTTGAGGCAGTTCCATTTGTGTTCTCCATATCAGGATGTGAATCATCCATGTCAACTGATACCCCAAGAACATTGCTCAGCTCGACATCCTTGGTTGAAAGTGAGCTTTTATCATCCATATACTCTTCATGGATGATGCCTGCATCCAACTCCAATTCAACTGGTATTTTTAATATTGAAGGCTCAACAGAAGTGGGGTCCAATGAAGAGTCGGAATTTTCTCTCTCACCTAAGCCAGATGCCCCACCTTCGCCAGTGCTTAAATGTTCTGAATTAGAATTAGAATCTGACTGATCATGAAAAAAGTTGTCAAGAAGGTTCTCTGCATCTGATTCATTGGTTTTGGGAGTAGGATTACCACTTTCACTCTGAATGTTTAAGGCTGCTAAAGAATCAACAGCGGTATCAGATTCTGGTGGTTCATTGGTCACTTCAGGAGCAACCAAAATATCACTAATCGCTGATTCACTATGGGCAGCTTTTTGAATAGACCAATCTTCAGGTGACTGTCCTGCAATAGTACCATCACTAATTCTACTTCCAGTAGCTTCACTATTTTTTTTACCTGAAGAAGGATCAACATATGCAACTGTCTTGCTTTCTGGATTGCTACTCTCTTGCACCTCAAGTTTGTCCAAATTTTGTTCCCCTTCAACACCATCAAGATGCTTATCAGAGGACAATGACTCTTCTTGTTGTGTTGTCAGTGGCTCCATCTGCTGTTTCACTCCTGCATACACCAATCATTCTCACTCAACTACTCTATGAGGAATAAAGGTCGTAGCTAGTTGACGAACATATATGAGCAATACAATCAATAATAGAAGGAAATGGAAGACATGGCTACTTTTAGGAAAATAATGATGCCATCACAGAACATGGATGCCGAAAAAGAACCTTTATCAAGTTGATTCTCCGACATCATAGAATTTTAAAAGGCGCAGGAAGCTTCTTTGAGAAATATTGCAACATTCCTAATGGATGTTTTATAACACATGATAGGCTGATCCTAGATATAAAGAGGACATCCAATTCAACAGACAACAAATATAAGGGAAAAGAAGGAAATATAATCAGGAATCAAGAGGTTTGGTCAATGGATGGACCTATGTCCATCAATCATCATATAGGAGCCAAATCCACTACCGAGAGAAGAAATGGGGCAAAAATAAGTAACCAAGAGAAATCTCTGATATTCCGAAAACCAAATTCTAAAACAATTATATCAGAATACATTCAATGATAAATCCCCAACATCCACATACAAGTAGTCGTCCCTATCATGCCCATTGCTGGCTAGCTTCAGGCTAATCAATTGAAGGAATACTGAAAAAAATATTTCTCTTACGGAAAAATATTTTAAAAGAATTTAATGCCAAGGGAAACATATTTATCTAGGATTATTATACTAGATAAGCACAGCTGAGAAAAAAATACTCACTTGAAGTTCCTCGCTTGCTTATAGACAATGCGGCAAAAGTAAGTCCTGTGATGAAAAGAATCCCAGCAACTCCTACTCCCAGTATCCCTGAAAGAAAACTACTTTACTTATTAGTCTATAAGAGAATCCACCAGCACGAAAAATACTCTCAAAATTCATCAATACATTTCATGGCAGCAGCACCCACATTTTTAACCACTAAGCTGAATCGATTTTTACTATTATTACCATAGTTATTAACTTCTATTGGGCAAGTTTATATGGGACTATTATACTCATACCACTGCTTTTAATCAAATAAGACAAAATTTGCCGCATCCACAGGAATCAACCAAATTTGAACAAGAAAGCTCTCTTCTGCATACAAAGATCTGGCTAGTTCTCACTAGCTTTTCCATTTCAAAATTTTAAATGATCACATTCAGTCAAATGCATTAACAAACCATTTTTAGAGATAAATAACCAAATATAATAATTCTTTAATAAACAGATATGCTCTCACCTGCAAGCGATTGCTTGGGCGGCGAGTCACCCGATCGTTCTTCACCTTCAGCATTGGACCAACCGGAGGAATTATCTGAATTCGAATTCATCCACGGAGAATTCCCAGAACGGCGCTGTTCCACACCGTTACCACTAACCGCACTATTCCGAACCACCAGCGACACGAACTTCAAACCGTGGCGATCGAGCTTCTGAAACCGCGTGTGTACAAAAATCGGCGGATATTTCCGGCAATTGAGCGCCAGTTTGAGCTGAAAGGAGCTCGGAAACCACGACGTAGTGGCGGTAAAGGTGCTCATTTCTGAAATTCCACAATTTGGAAGCTCCGCTGAAATGCAATATTAAAATAACTACAACCACTCAGGATTTGTTGTACAGATGTTGAAATTGTTCGAATTTGATGGTTAATCGGACAGCCATAAAAGAGGATAATTTCTAGGGTTTTGAAGTCTATTACCAGGGTTTCTGTTTTATATATCAGTGTTGAGTATTTTATCTATCTTATCCGGCAAACTTTACACTACATCAAGTTTCTGGGACTTCTTAATGTCACCAACGGAAATAAATTGAACCTTAAAACTACTTTTTGACATTTGGTTTCCTCTCATCATAATCTACTTATAAGTTATAATCTCCTTATAAGTAGATTATAATGAACCCAAACATACACTCAAATAATTATTTACTTTTGTTAAATACAATTAGAAACTACTAAAATATCAATATTTTTAGACATAAAGAGTGTATCCTTTTTATAAATTAAGAAGTTAAATATCGTGGTATAGATGACTCGTAGTTATTTCTATTTTTTTTTTCTTTTTGACTCAGCCTTTTCAAATTGAGGACTTTCAAATCTAAGCCTAACGGCAAGCACAAGTCAAACAACAATACAACTCGTGATGAATTTTAATTAGACCGATAAAATACTTTTCAATGTGTTTACACTACATGATTCAAAATCACTCACTTGTCACACAACATTTGTTGCCATTTGCCACTACAAATGTGAACAACCATTTGCGTTAGTCAATACCAACATAAAAAAAGTCGATGAAAGTCTTACAATTATTAGCCTTTATTTACATCTTATTTATAATTTTTTTTATAATCGATCAAATAATTCTTTATTCACATATTTAGTGAGATCTCACAAATATTACCAATTTATATGAACAACTCATTTTTATCTATTTATAATTAAAATCAATTATATGCAATGCTTTTAGACTTTAAGGTAGGGTCGAATCTTGGTGAATCACGTGGGCATGTGTATTGGAATTTTTTGAAAAATAATAGGGTTGGACTTGCTGAGTTTTTACGAAGTGTGAAATTGACTCATCAACCTTCAAAACTGAGGTTTTAACTTCACAACATATGCAATCCAAAATATGTTATTTTACCATTAAAAATCAAAATTTCTTTAAAGTAACTACTATGCATTTGCCTTTTACATATACATAAATATTAAAAGAAAAAAAAAACCAAAAAAAAAAAAATTCTATCTCTTTCAACATTTAGTTCATAGTTAGGGCGTAGTAATTATTTCAAGAAAAATATATTTTTAAGGGTCAAATCCGTCATGCGGGGACTCGATCAAACATGATTGAGCTCATATTTGGTGGCCATTTTTTTAAAAAAATATTGTTTTGAATAATGAATTTTTAGAAAATTTGTTGTTAAAAAATAGGAAATTTTTTTGGATTTACGTGTAGAATAATTTATTGTGTGAATGTATAGTTGAAAATGAGTACGTAGCAAAAAGAATTTTTAAAAAATGATAAACGTAGAAGGTGAATAAGTCAAAATATCAAATTTTGAAGGTGGAAGAGTCGATTCTACACTTCATGATAGGTTAATGAGTCCAAAAGTAATTTTTGCAATTTTTTTTCTTCAAATCATTGGGTAGTACCAGATTTAAAATAATATTTAGAGAAGTATTAGTGAATAATCAAACATGTCCAACGATTAAAAGAAGATTAATGACAAATCACGAAATAGTTTTTATATCCAAAATGTTAATTTAGTCCTTGTTTGATTTTGATTTTTTTTTGAAGCAATTTTGTATTAAGTGATTTTTTTAGTGTGTGCAATTATTTAATAAAGAAAAATATGAATTCACGTTCAAAATTATTTTAAAAATTACAGTAATCCCCCTTAAGCTTTATTTTCAATAAGGATTCCTCCCTAACCCAACTATATTTTTATTTCCTATTTTACCTTATGTATTGTTGCATTTTTTATATCACAAGCGTATGATATCGTAACAAGTAATATAATGAACCTTTGAGTCTGGATTATCGTTACTATATTTTAGACTTAATATAATTTTTCTAACTTCTATTTGATAAAAGCAAATAAATAATTAAGATGACCGTAATTATTTTTCCTAACTATTTTTAACTAATGGAAAATATAAAATGATTACAAATAATGAATAATTGAAAATTCAAATATGTGATAATATTAGGGAATGACAAATTCATGGATTGATCACATTTAATATTAATTCAAGATTTATAATCTAATGTAGTATTCGATCAAATTAAAATATTAGGGAATGACAATTTCATACATTGATCACATTTATTTTTAATTCAAGATTTATAATCTAATGTAGTATTCGATCAAATTATTCTATTGTATTCAATTTACTCATCTCGAGTTCTCATGGAGCTCATTTAACTAATTAAATTTCATATCTCTATACGAATCAATTTTAGTTAAACGAAACACTGGTTCTAAGAATTTAAATTATGACAGCAATAATCAATATATGTATCTCCACACGTTATACTAATTTACGATATTTTATTATATGGTCTAAATCTCAAACTCACTTCTCGATTTGTAAGAAACTCACATAATCATCAAATTATTGATAAGATAATTTAATAAAATCAACACATAAATAAATAATTAAATCATAGCAATCGTGAATAAAAATAAATAAAAGATCAAAAGTCAACTATATTGTTTTCTCTGATATAAAAATTAGTTATTCATATTATAAAAATAAAAATGCGCAAAAGTAAAAAGAAATTATCAAAAATTGACCAAACGTGAAATTTTTTGGTATTTGCAGTTTCTTTTTTTCCTCTCTCTTTCTCTTCTCTTCACGTTTTTTTCTATCCTTCTTTATTGACTTTTCTTTCTCTCTCTCTCTTCTCCTCTTTCTTTTTTCTTTTGTTTCCTTTTTCTTCTCTTTTCTTTCCTGCTACAACAGTCATTTTCCTTCCTGTTTTCTGTGCATCCTAAATATTAGGGAATGACAATTTCATAGATTGATCACATTTATTTTTAATTCAAGATTTATAATCTAATGTAGTATTCGATCAAATTATTCTATTGTATTCAATTTACTCATCTCGAGTTCTCATTGAGCTCATTTAACTAATTAAATTCCATATCTCTATACGAATCAATTTTAGTTAAACGAAACACTGGTTCTAAGAATTTAAACTATGACTGCAATAATCAATATAGGTATCTCCACACGTTATACTAATTTACGAGATTTTATTATATTGTCTAAATCTCAAACTCACTTATCGATTCGTAAGAAACTCACTTAATCATCAAATTATTGATGAGATAATTTAATGCATTAAACTCATAATAAAATCAACACATAAATAAATAATTAAATCACAACAATCGTGAATAAAAATAAATAAAAGATCAAAAGTCGACTATATTGTTTTCTCTGATATAAAAATTAGTTATTCATATTATAAAAATAAAAACGTGCAAAAGTAAAAAAGAAATCACCAAAAATTGACCAAACGTGAAATTTTTTTGTATTTGCAGTTTTTTTCCTTTTCTTTCTCTTTCTCTTCTCTGCACGTTTTTTTTTCTATCCTTCTTTATTGACTTTTCTTTCCCTCTCTCTCTCTCTCTCTCTTCTCCACTTTCTTTTTTCTTTTGTTTCTTCTTTCTTCTCTTTTCTTTCCTGCCACAGCCGTCGTTTTTCTTTCTGCTTTCTAGGTTTTCATATATATATACACACTAGGTGCAAGCAACGTGCAATGCACGTTTGCCTAGGTGCAAGCAACGTGCAATGCACGTTTGCCTAGTTTATATTTAATAGTTTTATTTAAGAGTCAATTTGTTATTAATAAAGATGTAATTTTTTTGTTAATTAAATAATTAATGATGTAATATTTATGTAATTGATAAATAATTAAATAAA